GTGTGTGTGTGTGTGTGTGTGTGTGTGTGTTGTGTTTGTAGTTGGTTGATTGTGGGAAAGGGAGTTGTTACAGTGAATGAGGGGTGTCAATATTTGAAGACTAATTAGATATTGACCAACAAATATAAAGTACCGTACTTTTGAATAAAATCTGGCAGCAGATCAGTGGTCAGTGCTGCAGACTCATAATCCTGAGGTGGAAGTTTTGAGCCCAGGTTGCATATGCAAGGTAAAATGTAATGCTAATGTAAAACAATTGGCAAAACTTTTGTGTGAGTTTGCTCATTGTGGCGATGCTTAAAGGGAACATCTGACAAAAAATAACTTTGATTGAAACCAGGTAAGAACTACTTCAACTCAATGTGCTTAAAAAATATAAAACCAAGAAAAACTATTTGCTGTCATCTATAGGAAAAACACCAAACACACAGACCCTCATGTAGTTGTCTGTCTTACCTGGTTGGACTCTGTGCCAATGGCAGGCAGATCCTGGACAGACCGACGTCTCTGAGCCTCACATGTGGCTGTGAACAGGTGGGGACAATCAAAGACAAAAGAGCATGAGACCCAGAGGAGTTTAGGTAGTTATGTAAGGAAACTAACTAGTGTTTGTGGTTTGAGGGAAAAACAGGGGACAACAGAATTATGGGGTGAGTGGCATGTGGCCATGGCTCTAATACATCTCAGTCCAGCTGGTAGATATCAATGAAGACCAAACCTATTTAAGTCAGGTTCTGGGCCTGTTTACAAGAAAGAATATGGACTGGTTTGAGTTTTGAGGCAGGTGCTAAGCAGACAAGTGTTTCATTCATTATTTGTTTGTTGCATACATTAACAACACATTCAGAGCAACATCCCAGCAGTCTCACTCGGGAAGCAGTGAATGTACAAGCTCTATAGAGGTTGTGTACCCACAATGCTTGCATGCCCAAAYTCCAACCTCATTCCTCCTTGATGCTCCCCTTGTTCAAAACATTCCCTATGTCTGAATACTTTTATCAGGGAAAGTTGGCAAAAAATAAATCCAGGATGACTATTTTGGTTAAACTTAAAGGGGATTTTTCCTGGAATCTAAAGCAACGAAAACTCGAGTGGACATTCTAGAGCACACAAGTTTGTAAAAAAAACGGTTTAAGTATCATTTTGAAGCTGATAAGATATAATCCACCATGAAAAACTGTAAAAAACACAAGCTGTCTGGGGAATGCTAGCTTTTGAAGTTATCTTTCAAATTTAGTCATTATTTACACAGGTTTCACAAGATATGATAAAGATTATGATAAAGAAAAGAAANTTGCAACCCACTGTATGGGTTCCAAAATATATAGAATACAAATCTAAAGGATGGAGTGATGTAACTTCATATGGATGGATGCACAAAAAATGAGCATTTCGTAAATTGTGCTTTCTGAAGTTAATCAGGAAGAAGGTTTTACATCATTCACTGATTAAACATTACAACACACAGAATGTTTTTTTTCTGCTAAAAAATGCAATAAGAGAAAATCAAACACAAAATAAAGCCACAAAACATCACAACACACACAAAAGCACACAAGACTAAGCACTTGTATTTCGACTTTGGGCAATTGTACTACATGAATACGATGAGTTTAAAGACAGATATATTAAGCAAATTCAGATGCCACCTGATGGAACAATGTTGTGGTGGTTGAATCTGTTGCCTCAGAACAAAGTCACAGGTTCATAATCAGGCCTTTGGCATTTCTGTGTTGAAGTTTGGTTGTTCTCCAAGCACATGCATGGGTTTTCTCCGAGTACTGTGGTTTCCACCCACAGACCATAAAAATGCATATTAAGTCAATTGGTAACTAAATTGTCACTAGGGGTGAGTGAGAGTGGTTGTTAGATATAGGTGTATTTTGTTGATTTTGCAACCTCCATTTTCTGTAAGGACTAAATAACTGAAATTGTATTTGTTGAATTTATAGCAGATTAGAGTTTAAATTTACATTGTAGCAGTGTAGCACTTCTATGAGAAACAAACACCAGTGCAGGAGCACTTTAAAAAGTGTACAGTTTTACATATCTGCCCAACTCATTACTTTTGGTCTTTAGTATTACTTTGAGCAATGCTTCATGTTCACATGTGCAATTTGAAATGTAATGTGGATTAATTTTATGTTGGTGTAGATTTTCAGTCATCCAGGACATGGTAAATCTAAAAAAGTAGCTTCTCTGTAGGTACAGTACTGAAGCTGGACTAATGAAATGCCCTATCTCTGTTAAGCCATGTATCCCTATAACTTTAAGTAGTGATGACTTTATGACATTCTAAATAAAGTTATTTTCAATTATAGAGAAAATTCACAGTATCATTTTTGGTATTGCCTCTGATTCCCTGTCAGATGAGGCAGCTTTAGAAGTGTCACTAGAACCTGATTTATGTTTGGACTGTTTTTTGTCTTGTTGGGTTATCAAAACTGTCAAAAATAAAAGCCTTGGAACTATCAACATGTATGCTAGATCCACTCCCAGCCAGATTGTTCAAAGAGGCATTTTCCCCAATATCAATGTTTTGGATCTGTTTAATTTGGTTGTAAGGAATGGTTCTGTGCCAGAGAGCAGAGGGCTGCAGTAATTAAACTTGTGTCCATTCTCGTCCTGTTAGATGCAGTTGATTAAAATATTATATTACGTAGGCCTGAACATGATATTGATAATTGTATTTATTTGATAGATTCCAGTTTGTTAATAGGAATTCTTTATACACCAAAGTTGGTTATAGTTTCTCTCTATGGCTTCAGGAAAGAAGGTTTTAACTGTTGTTTGTGCTTATGCATTCATTAGTCATGGAGTTCCTCAGGGATCAGTGTTGGACCAATCCTTTTTTCTTGCTTCTATTAGGTAAAGTTATTAACAGTATGGTATGGATTTTCAATGTTGTGTTGATGATACTCAGATTTATTCAACCTGATGAATTCAGTTACTTAAAACTACAAGCATGACTTAAAAACATAAAACCTGTCCAAAAACCTTTTTGGACCCAAACAGCTTAGTAATAAACTTTGCAGCCTTTAATTTCCTCTGAATGGTATTATTTTGGCATCTGGCCCTACATTAAAGAATCTTGGTGGTGTTTTTGATCAGGATATGTCTATTAAACGTGTTACCAGGACCACTTTCCTTCACCTGTGTAATATCACTAAAATTAGAAACATCTTATCCAAAAAAGATTCATGCATTTATCACATCTAGGCTGGACTACTGTAATTATCTGGGCATCCAAAAAACGTTTTAAGAAGTCTTCAATTGATCCAAAAATGCAGCTACTTAAGTTTTAATGAGAATTGGAAGGAGAGATCATATTTCTCCAGTTTTAGTTTCTCTCCACTGGCTCCCTGTCAAATTCAGAATAGAATTTAAAATCGTTGGTTATGTACTGTAACCCCAGATTTTAGGCGCAGCCCTTTAATGCTATCGCTATTGGATTTATCCATCGCGCACATGCACAGCACTGAAAACTCATAGTCCACACCCACCTGCAGAGTGGGCCTGCCTCAGGGCGCATAAATAGTGCCATGAACCGAGGCTCGACTCCCTAGTATCTTTTTCTTCAACCAAGGGAGCCAGTGAGGACCAGATCTTAAAGGGTTGTGCCTATACTCATAGAATCTGAGGTTACAATACGTAACCAACGTTCTATTTCATATAGGCTCCACCCTTTAAGGCTATCACTATTGGGTTAAAGGCGGAGAAGGACGTAGTCTATGCCTCACTGGGCCCATTTGTTACGACAGTTGCACAACCACCTAGACAGCCCGCTTCCAGCTTGAACCGTGCATAATTATGTAACAATGGTGCTGCGTGTTACTCTCCATATAAGCACCGAAATGGAGGATAAGATACATTCGCATTATGGTTCTGACAGTACTCTAAGAACAGAGTGGGTCAGGGAGAAGCTGGAAGCATCACGCAGGTAATGGCGAATAAATGAACATGAGGAAGACCAGGAAGCTGCAGTGACGATGTCCTGAACAGATGCTCCTCCAAGCAGAGCCGCGGAGGATGACATTCTTCCGGTGGAATGAGCTCTGAGACCCTCTGGGGGCTGAGCTCCAGATGAAATATAGGCTTATGAAATAGCTTCACACAGCCAGTGTGAAAGGCGTTGAGCTGACAGAGGAAGTCCAACAGACAGATCGCTGAAATGCACAAATAAACGCTGTGAGCGTCTTAAATCTGACGTGCGCGATATGTAGCAGGACAGCACACGCACTGGGCAGAGGAGATGAGAGGCAGCTTCCTCCTCAGAATTATGAGGAGGGAAAAAACCCTCAAGTGAAATCGCCCTAGATCTGTAAGAGCTTGTGATGTTTTTAGGTTGGATTCGAACGCAATACCGCCAAACTGCAGTCACCCTGGATTTGGAGACAGGATGGGGCCAAAGACAGAGGTGACAGGTCACTCACTCTTTTAGCTGATGTCAGCACTAATAGCAAGGCAGTTTTAAGTGAGAGAAATTTCAAAGAAATCTGACTTAAAGGCTCAAATGGAATTTTTGCCAGTGCGCGCAAAACCAGCGCTAATTCCCACTGTGGGACCAATGTGCGTGACACGGGTCTGTGTCTGTGCATGCCCTTTAAGAAGCGTTTCATCAGTGGTGATTAAACGCAGTTCTGTCACCGTAGCCCTCATGGCATGAGGAAATGACTGCGACCAAGGCTTTAAGTGTGCTGAAAGCCAAATTTCTGTCCATCAGCAGTTGGAGGAAAGATAAAACGCAGGGCAGTGGACACAAAATGGGATCCACCCCTTTTTCAACACACCAGCATTGGAAAGCTGACCATTTAGGTGTATAAGATGTGGTGGTAGAGGCAGCTCACGTGCCCTGAATGGTGCGCACAACATCTGCAGAGAGACCTAGTTTCACTAGGCATTCCCATTCAGCGGCCAGACCYAGAGATGCTGACCGATCATTGGGAAGTTCCTGATACTCCTCCTGCCTGTAGGAGCGCGTCCTCTAACCATGGTAGCTGCCATGGGCGGTCCGATAACAGCTGCTGCAGGCACTGGAACCATGATGCGCCAGTGCATTCTGGAGCCACCAGAATCACTCTCAGCTGTTCCTCCCATACCTGGTCCAAGAGACGCAGAATCAGCAGGACGGAGGGAAGGCATAAAGCTGTTTGTTTGGCCACGGTCAGTGAGCGAAAGCATCCACCCCCAGTGGTGGTTCGTCTCGAGGACTCAGGGAGAACCAGAGTTTGCAATGAACGTTTTCTCTTGTGGCGAACAGGTCTACCTCCACTCTGCTGAAATTGCGCCAGATCTGGAGGATCAGATCCCGATGGAGACTCCAGTCCCCGTCCTGAGGACCTCCCCTGGACATTATGTCCGCTCTTCTGTTCAGGACACTGAGGATGTACACTGCTCTGATTTTTGATCTTCGGGCTGTTCCAACAGCTGCGCTGAGGGCACAAACCCCTGGCGGTTTATGTAGGCAGCCGCCACCTTGCTGTCTGTGTGGATCAGAACATGCTGATCCTGCAGCAATGGAGCA